AGAAGTGTTTGTCTTGTCCCGATAATCTTATCTCCCCGCCAAACATAACGAAATTTGGGGTTAATCTTGTAGTTTCATGTCGGGCCGTCCGGATTGCGCACGCCACTTGTTGGAGCAACTTGTCCCAGGTGCGGTGATTATCGGCAACATAAGATGTCAATATTGTTTTGATAACCCGGTGGCTGCGCTCCACCGGATTGGCTTGAGCGTGATAATTTGATATGTAGCCTGGGATAATGTCATACCTTTGTAGTAGCAACTTGAACGATCCACTCCGAAATTGCACCCCATTGTCCATGATGACCCGTCGAGGAGCCCCAAACAGAAGAATTATATTTTCCTCAAACAAGGTGGTCACTTTTGCCGCCGTTGCCGCCCGTAATGGGAACAAGAGAATAAATTTGGAGAATATGTCCATTACTGAAAATATATACGTATAGCCCGCGGTAGATCGAGGTAACGGACCGACTAGGTCGACGCTTAAAATTTCCCATGGTCGTGATACCGTAGGGCCAGCACTTAGCATCAGTCCCGCCGGTGCCTTCTGCTCAGGTTTGGTCTTCAGACACGTCTGGCATCTATTTATGTACCGCGCGACATCCTGACGAAGTTTGGGCCAGTAGAACTTTGTGGCTATCCGGGAACATGTTTTGAAGATTCCCAAGTGTCCTGACGTGGGAGGGTCATGATTTCTCTGGATGATCTCCGAGCGATTTTCTTTCTGGACCACCAACAGCCATCCATCGGATTCTTCCGAGAGACCTGGATAAGGGACCTTGGTCTTTTTGAAAATACGCACCCCCTCTATCCGCCAAAGGGGATAGCGATCAGGTCGGGCCTCCACTAGGGCGATCATACGCCGATACCATGGGTCCTTCGTGGTTGGTGGGGCTTCATCAGCTGGACCATCGACAGAGTCCACAACCGGAACGGCTCGCGATAGGGCATCTGGAACGCAATGTTCGCGACCGGGCCTATGGACTATATCGAAATCATATTGTTGGAGCCGCACCGCCCATCTGGCGATCCTGCCAACCGGGTCCTTGATGTTATTAAGCCACTTGAGACTGTGGTGGTCGGTGATTACGCTGAACCTCGTTCCTTCTACATAAGGTCTTAGCTTCTCAATAGCGAACAGCACCGCCAGGCATTCCTTCTCGGTGGTGCTGAACTTTCTTTCCGTGGCCGTTAACGATCTACTCAAGTAACAGATCACCTTCTCCCCTTACTCGGAAGCCTGCGAGAGCACAGCCCCAATACCGTAGTCCGATGCGTCGGTTTGTATCACGAAGGGCAGCTCGAAGTTTGGAAATGAAAGGACGGGCGCGGTGATCAAATGGTCCTTGAGAGTGCGGAAGGCCTGATCACAAGACTCGTCCCAGACGAACTTCGAATTCTTTTTCAGCAGCGCACAGAGGGGTGAAGTAAGGGAGGAAAAATTTGGCACAAAGCGCCTGTACCAGGAGGCCAGCCCGATAAGTCTCCTCACCTCGGTAACAGTACGTGGTGGAGGAATCTTAACGATTGCCTCTACCTTCTCTGGATCCACCATCAACCCTGATGAGCCTACGACATAGCCCAGGTATTTGAGTTCCGCCTTGCAAAAGTGACATTTATTCTTATTCAGCGTCAGGCCCGCGCCCGCAAGTCGCGCCAAAACCTCTGTCAGAATATGAAGATGTTTATCGAAGGTGTCTGTGCATATGATGACGTCATCGAGGTAGACGAAGACGTATTGTTCTAAATCTACCCCGATAACCCGATCGATGAACCTTTGCCATGTTGCAGGAGCATTGTGAAGGCCCATAGGCATCCGGGTAAACTGGAAGAGCCCCCGATTGGGTACAATGAATGCGGTCAGTGGTTTTGACTCGGCCGATAAGGGAATCTGCCAGTAAGCAGATTTGATGTCCAAAGTGGTCAAATAGTGCGCATCCCGTAGCTTATCCAGGGTAGCACTTACTAAAGGCAGAGGGTAGGCGCCCCGTTCCGTGACCTTGTTGAGCTGCCGGAAATCTACCACAAATCTGTAACGACCGTCATCTTTTCGCAGCAACAGAATAGGCGAGGCCCAAGGGGAGGACGAGGGCTCTACTACTCCGCCAGAGAGCATTTGATCCAACTCAAGATGCACCTGCTTCAATAGTGCTGGAGATACCGGGTAATATCGCTGACGAAGAGGGGGAGAGGTAGTCTGGATGACATGAGAAACTAAGTTGGTACATCCTAGTTTAGTCCCCATAGAATGAAAAGTTGCCTCAATCAAGGCATCTAGCTGTCGGCGTTGAACGTCCGATAGGGTACTGATAGAATTCAGATACTGTGGGGCCGACTCCTCCTCCTCCGAGTTCCGGAAACTCCATTCCCCCGAGAACATGTCCGGAATGATTCGCATCCTTGACCAGAAGTCCATACCAAGTATAAGAGTATGTGGAAGAGAGGGAACTACCAATATCTCGAAAATTTTCACCTCACCACATAAGTTCACTGGAACAGCAATCATCCCCACTACGGGACAGCTGTGTCCATTAGCAACCGTGCATTGCTGCTCGGAAACCTCTTGTAGTCGACAGAACGGTTCAAGAATTTTCCAACCCCTCTCTCCCAAAACAGTGCGAGTACAGCCCGAGTCCAATAGGGATAGGAACTTTTGGCCCAAAATATCCACCGTCAGATATGGCCTCGTGTCACCCTTTGCGTGAGCGAGCACGTAATCGATGATTACGGAAGTTCTTTGATCGACCGGGAGGATAGTAGTGGGGAGGTCTACCCACCGGCCTACTGGTGACCTCTTCTCGAGTTTTTTGCGCAGTTGGGACATGAGTATGAGACTGTGTCCAACCGTCCGCACTTGAAGCAAAATTTCCGAGCCAAGCCATCAATGTATCACACTTAGGGTCTAACAGGAATTATTACAGGGATATAGGGTGTTCAAAATCGAGATTTTTCAACTTTAGGATTTTTTTGTGGCGAAACTATTCATCATTGATCAAAACGGCTTACGTGTCCCTGTATTAAATTTTGATCAACTATCTACTGACATTCAATTGGAAATATACAGGATGGTCCAAGATTCAGAATTTTGATCACCCTGTATCTGTTCCAATTGAATGTCAGTAGATAGTGGCTCAAAAGGTGAGATAGTAACATGTGAATTGTTTTGATCGATAATAAATAGTTTCGACACAAAAAATTCCTGAAATTGAAAAATCTCGATTTTGAACACCCTATATCTCTGTAATAATTCCTGCTAGACCTCAAATGTGATGCATTGATGAAATCAGCTCTTTGAGGAAAATTTAAAATCACAATGAAATACAGGGTATTCCATTTGAAATAACAAAGATGATGCTACTTTTTGGTAAAAATGGCAACGCTGAAAATATTTTGAATCGTTAGATCACAAACGCTTATTACAATAACCAAATTTTCAGGATAATCTAATGTACCTACCGTTTTCCGTATACGTCTAAGGTACCATTGATAGTGTGCCACCCTGTATACCTAAATAATTCATCTAAATGGACAATACCATTGTAATCATGCATATACCACAATATATACACATAAATTTCAACATTTACATCATTAATGAAAATGATAACAATACATACATAATTATTCACCTAATTTTCATACAAACAAAATAAATACTACAAAAGATCCGACATACTTATTATGCACATTTTCTTCAGGTTCAGTTTGCAGATGCAGTTACTACTTTCCAATGCCTTCCATAATAAATACATAGAAATCATTCGAAAAATATTATTATATAAAAATACTGTTAGACATGTCAGCCTTTGCAAGTGTGTATGCCTGTACTAACTCGTCCTGAATTTTTTTCGACTTCGTCGAATTTAAACAAAATTCGTGAAAATTTTTCTCTGTTAAATCCTCTGACTTGTTTTTATATACCATTCCCTTGGCATCTCTCCCATAAAACTTTACTTTATAGGACAGTGCCTGTATCATGAAAATTTTACATGGCCAATAGGTATAACCTTTTACTTTGCCTAAAATAATATCACCAACTTTATATTTATATTTGTCACATTTTGTTTGTGATACTGATTCCAATTCAGTTCTCATTTCTAATCTAGAAATTCCAATTGACGAAGTTGATGACCCTGGTCTCTCAATATCTTCAACAGCTGTACCTTCAGATGTAATTTTAGTTGAATTTTCAATTTCAACTTCAATTGGAGCTACAACTCCAGTTGATCTCACGATTATTTCATTATCAATTGGAGCTATAATTTCAGTTGGAGTTGATGTTGTAATTGATGTTGATTCATTCATAGGTATAACTTCAGCCGAAGTTATACCTGCAGTTATAACTTCGTCTGAAGTTATACCGATGCATTCATTTGCTGTCGCCATATTAATTGAAGTTGAAACAACTGGAATTGTAGCTCCAATTGAAGTTGAAACTTCAAATGGAACTGTATCTCCAATTGAAGTCGGAACTTCTACTACACGTGACATTGCAACTACATCAGATACAGATTCAACTACATCAGATACAGATTCAACTACATCAGATACAGATTTAACATTTGATGGTACCAGTGTTATTGATGAAATGACATTAACAACAGAATTAGGACGAATAATTCCACTAGAACTGAAATTGTCATTTTGATTCAGTGGACAAGCTTTTTCAATAACATCAACAGCAGAATTAAGACGAGTAATTCCACTAAAATTATCACTGTGATTCAGTGGACGAGGCTTTTCGAAGTGTTCAATAGTTAAAAATTCTAATTCAGAACTTGACTTACGAGTTATTTTAGACTTTACTGATAATGAATAGTGTTCCTCAAGTTCCGAACCTGATGAAGAAATATTCTTCGCAGATTCATTATGAGCTACGTTTTGATATTCAGAAGATTTTGAAATACTAGATGTAGAAATTGATTTTGAAATATTAGATGTTGAAATAGATTTTGAAAATTGAAATTTTTCATCAGTGTCAGAACTTGAATGATATATTCTACTTGTTGATGGTAAAGCTATTGTTGAAGATGGTAAAGCTATTGTTGAAGATGGTAATCGTTGTGACGGTTCAATCATCTCATCGTCATCGTCTGATTCAATATCATCTTCTACTTCAACTTCGTTACTTGATTGATTATCCTCATCAGATTTGTTATCAGAGTCTGATTCTGAAGAAGCAATAAATGAAGTCGATGGTAAATCAATATTATATCTTTTTTGTCGGTGACTATCGCGTTCAAACGTCAGTTCTAGTGGAACTTTCGTCCTAACGGTTAAATAGTTATTCACGCTATTTCTGAGTAAAGTCTCAGATGCTGAGTCATGAAACATATCCGCATGTTCAAAAAAACGTAACGTACCTTTGGCCTGTAATATACTCCGAAATAAGCGTAATCTTTCATCACTTGCATTTACTTTAAATAAGTGCTCATAAATGGTTTTAGCAACAGTTATGCTAACTGTCCTACCTAATTTAATGTCTTTAATTGGAAATATATTCCTAACATATATTGCCACAGCTGCATATGCTGATAAATACCATAATGGCTTACTTTGTAATAATTCCAGGGGAAAGTTTATAACAGCATTAGTCAAAGCATCTAACGTCAACAGAGAAGGACGTGATTTATATTTTAAAATTTTAAAATATAATGTATTGTAATTTGAATTCTTTTGAAGTTTTTTACATTTTCTGGCATATCTCACCAACAAACCTAGTTTAACCGGATTTTTCACAAAAAATTCAGGAGTAAATGTAGTAGGCATATTACGTGTTATTTTCGAATGATCTCTATATATTTAAAATGAAGACGTGGAATTAGTTAACTCCTCTGAGAATTAATTATAGCACATCTGAGAAAAGTAGAAACTGTGTAACGACATGGACTGTACTGATGATGGCCCACTAAGAACGATATCTGTTGAGATAAAAAATATATGATAATTTATATGAACATATTAAACTATTTATCTTCAATAAATATAAATTTATTGAGAATGTTTTGAAAATTCTAGTAGTATCAGGAGAAACAGATAAGGATACAAGAATTTTTATTACTATTTTTTTATATGCAATTTTTTATAGTTAAATAGTTGAATTTTTCTTTCCGGAATAGAATTTTCTAGAAATAATAAATTTTATTTAAATTGTAATGAAGTGTCAATTTTCAGTAAAATTGACGAATTTTTCATATTTCCTAGTGAATTTTCTGAAATGCAAGTGCTGAAACAATTTATAAAAAACGTAAATTTAAAAAAGAAACGGATAATTCTACGTATTCTAAAAACTGCTAATCCAAATTTTGGGAAATTTGTATCATTTCTAAAATCAAACATAAAAAATAATATACATGTACGACATTTTGTTATCGAATAACATAGGTTTCTTGAAATATTTTCAATTCATCATTATCTAAGGCTCTCTTTCAAATACTTATAACTATACAGGGTGGTCCACGGTGGATGGCCTATTAGAAGTATCTGTAGAACGAAAAGACAAAACGTCCTGAAAATTGCGATTCTTTGATAATTAAACATTCTTTATCCATTTAAAATATTTTCATCGATACAGTGTTGCCACTTCTATCAGAAACAACTAGCAATTTTGTTATTCTGAAGTTTCAGTCTCAATTCGTCTACGTAATCGTCATATGTGTATTTGAATTCTGCATGGTTTGTTAAGCTTGAAGGCAAGTTGGGTTTTATACCGAATATTAATTCGTGTGGAGTGAATTTAGTGGAAGTGTGTACAGTTGTATTGTAAGAAAACATGGCGAAGTCTATCCATTTGTCCCAATCGGTCTGTTCTTTGTTTATATGAAGTTTAAAATATTTCACGAGTGTAGAATGACTTCTTTCCAAAGCAACGTTTCTTTGAGGATGATAGGCTGTGCAATTGATTTGTTTGATTTTGATAATTTTGATACTTGGTTCAATACTTGAAAAGTAAAATCTTTTCCTTGATCTGTTACTATATATTTTGGAATTCTGAATTCGCAAATGAAGTTTTCGACTAATTTGGTTGCTATCATAATTGCTTCATGATTTGGTACAGCGTATGCTTGAGAATATTTCGTAAGATCGTCTTGTAGAGTAAAAAATTCCAATACCTACCTCCTGTCCCTATCCTCCCTAGGAACGCACGATGTTCTTTGAACATTATAGGGATTCCCTTTCGTGCGCTCCAATCGATAAAAAAAAAAAAATTATGTATTTGGTCCTACAACATCTAAAAATATTTTTTCTATAGGTTCTGAACTGGTAGTCGTGATTTCCATAGGTTTAATATTCTTTCTCCTTACTAATATATTTTTCTGGCAAGAATCACAATTTTTAATGAATTTTTTGATTTCATCCTTCATATTAGGCCATTTAAATTTTTGTTTTATCCTATTATATATATGTCCAGTGAAATCCGGAATGTTCTGAAGTAGGATTGCAGTGGTTTTCTTGTAGGATCAGTGGAATTTGTTGAGGTTGTGGAGTTTGGAGAATGTCGTGATAAATTTTTACTTCAATGTTTGAATATCTAAAAATATATCTTATCATTGAACGTATTTTATTTCAATTTGATTTTTCAAATGAGAAACTTATTCTAGGCAATCTAATGGAACTTAGTTTATTAGTAATCAATGTAGCCTTCAGTTGAGCAAGAAGATTGAAAATTATTTCCTATGTTAAACTTTCCCAATAATTTTCTTTTGCAAAAATATGAAAGATCGTTTTTTCTTTTTCCTTGAATGAGGCTATATCGTATCGTTACGTTATTCGGGGGCAGAAGCGAACACGACACTATTTATTTCCGAACTGATTTATTTAAACTGAAGAAACACTAATTTATATCGAACTCATAACAACTATTTATGTAAAGCAATTTATATCACGCGGTATATAACTGTCTCTCTGACACTCGCTGCTTAACTGACTGACGGCAGTTGTTCGGTTGTTTATATATAAGATCCCTTGGCAGTTGTTGGTTCGAGAACGTTCTCGAATGATCTTTCGTCTCCTTCTATTTGTTCTATAGAAGCTTCTTAGAACAAAACCCCTCTCTCTAATTGTTCCATCGATTGTTTCCAGAACATTCCAGAATCTTCTGTGACGTTATTTGTCACTGCGGCATATATTGAGTGTTCGGAAATATGCTGGTGTATGTAGGAATCATTGGGAGGTTGGAGAACAATCTGGGATGCGTGATACAGGATGATCGTTGTACTCCTGTCTTACTGATGATGTTTCTAAAGCCCCTCTAAGGAAAAAATCATTACATTGCCCCCTCCTCAAAACGCATTCCTCCTGGAATGCACTCTGATTGTTATGAAGATAGGGACAACTGGTTTTATTTCTATAACGTGCAGTATGGTAGAAATAGCATGGCACTGTCTTCTCTCTTGGAGTTCATTTGGAGTTCCAGCAGTATACCAGAATTTCAACTCCGGTGAATCGAAATACAACCTCTAGCATGTTCCTTACAACTCTCCAATTCAAGCCATCCATTCCACACCCCAGCTTTGGAAGAGCTATCTTCTGTATGTCCTTCTCTAGTATGGTGCTTCGCAAGTCGACTAGTGTCTCCCAGAGGTCCTTGTAAGTGGGTTCCTCAGAAGATCTTCCTTTCGTTATAAGATAAAACAGAGACCTTTTTCCTTCAGCGCTGGTATCTTCTATTTCTAGTACTCGACCGACGGAGGGACCTTGTTGATGAAGTTCCTCTCACTTCCCGAACTTGCTCATGAACTTGTTCGCTATTCCTTGAGACATCTGAAGATCCTCGGAGACGCAGTGAGCTAGTACGTATTCTACAGGAATGGCAAAGAGGTCGCGGTGCTCTTCCTTGGTGACGCCAACTCTTGCTTTTGATGAACCACTGTATGTCCCAATGATTTCGTCGAATGTGAGCTCCTTTTCTTCCGGACAAATTTGTTGAACTTGTTGATCTTGTGTTCCCTCGAATGGTGCTAGTCTGTTGAAATGAACGACTCTTGGTTTGCGACTTGGTTCTTCACTGATGCGGTAGATGCCATCGTTGATCTTCTTCTTGACGGTATAAGGTCCTTCCCAAGAACTCTGTAGTTTTGGACAAATACCTCGTTTCCTTTGTGGTTTGTACCAGGTGATTCAATAACGGTGACGAGGTACAGTATCTCAGGAACTAATAGTTTATTAAACACGCCTCCTATCGAGGGCGGTAAGAACCAGAATGGTATGTATGGATTTATTCACCAAACCTTCCTTTCTCGAACCATATCTCTTGTTAGCAAATCATTAGTTCCTGAGATACAGCTTCTCGGTTACCCTCATTGACCAAGACCAAGTGACATAGAAGCCTCATCTCTCGTCCAAATAGAACCTTCGCCGGAGTCTGTTCTGTAGATTACTGTACTGCAGATCTGTAGGCCATCAAGAAGAAAGGAATATGTTGATCCTAGTCATGTTGGTGTTGATCTACGACTTTGCAGAGATACCTCCTTATGTTTCGAAGTTCCGGCCCTGATCAGAGTGAAGTTCGAATGGCACCCCAAAACGACTAATGAGTTGATTCATTAGGACATCGGCGACAGTTACGGCTTCCTGGTTAGGGATCGCATACGCTTCCACCCACTTGGTGAAGTAGTCCATGCAGACAAGGATGTATTTATTCCCATTATCAGTCACTGGAAACGGCCCCGCAATATTCATGGCAATCCTCTCGAAAGGTCTCCCAACATTGTACTGTCTCAGGGGTGCCCTTGGTTTACGATGAGACCCATTGCTGGCAAAGCACACGGTGTATTTATGGCACCACTCCCTGACGTCGTCACTGCAGTTCACCCAGTTGAACCGCTCTCGTACCCGCTGCAGTGTCTTCCTCACTCCTAGATGTCCCCCTGAAGTTCCATCATGTACATATCCAAGTACTTCCGACACTCGGCTCCTAGGAATGACCAACTGCATCCGATTATTCGACCCATCATCGCTCTCGAGATTCCTCTTGAGCAGGTCATCTTCTAATACCAAGGAATTCCACTGACTCCAGTACGCCTTCAAAGACTGTGAAGATGGTGCTACTTCTTGCCAAAAACGGCGGCGATCCGCTTTCTTCCATTCTTGAAGCTTCCAAAGTCCTGGATCCTTTTCTTGCTCTTGCTTGATTGCTGCAGGTAACCAATCTTCATTGACAACGGTGGTC